GTGTCCTCTTATGGTTCCCCTTCTGTCCTCTGATGGTTCTGATTGTCACCTTGTGTCTTCTAATGGTTACTAGTCTGCCCTCTGATGGTTTTGCTTCTGGCCTCTGATGGTTCTTCTTGTGTCTTCTGATGGCTACCCCTCTCTGATGGGTTCACTTCTGCCCTCTGACAGTTTCCCCTCTGTCCTCTAACAGGTTCCCTTCTATCTTCTGATGGTCCTCTGTCCTCTGATGGTTCACACTATGTTCTCTGATTGTTCTGCCTCCGTCCTATGATGGTTCACCCTATGTCCTCTTATGGTTCCCCTTTTGTATTCTAATGGTTCCCCCTTTGTCCTCTGTGTCACCTCTGTCTCTTGATTGTACCCCTTGTGTCTTCTAATGGTTCCCCCATTTTTCTCTGATGTTTCCACTTCTGTCCTCTGATGTTTCCCCCTTTGTCCACTGACGTTTCCACCTCTATCCTCTGACGGTTTCCCCTCTGTCCTCTGAAGGTTCTGCCTCTGTCCTCTGAAGGTTCCCTCTCTGTCTTATTATGATTCCCCTGCTGTCCTCTGATGGTTCATTCTCTGTCCTCTTATGGTTCCCCTTGTGTTTTCTAATGGTTCCCCTCTGTCCTCTAACAGGTCCCCTTCTGTCCTCATATGGTCCTCTGTCCTCTGATGGTTCTACCTCTGTCCTCTGATATTTCCCCCTCTGTCCTCTGATAGTTCCACCTCTGTCCTCTGATGGTTCCACCTCTGTCCTCTGATGGTTCCGCCTCTGTCCTCTGATGGTTCTGCCTCTGTCCACTGATGGTTCCCCCTCTGTCCTCATAGGGTTCCCCTTCTGTCGTTTGATGGTTCCCCCTCCATCCTTTTATGGTTCGCCTTTTGTCCTATGATGGTTCCCCCTCTGTCCTCTGATGGGTCCACTTCTGTCCTCTAATCATCCTCTGATAGTTGTGCCTCTGTGTGCTGAGCTCCCTCCTGTTCACTCTGCTCACGTACGATTGTGCAGCTACCCATCCAGGCTGTCATACTGTAAAGTTTGCAGATGATACAGTGGTGGAGGGATGCATCACAAACAATGATGAGTCCAGCTACAGGCAGGAGGTGGAACACCTGGAGAGCTGGTGCAGGAAGAACAACTTTCACATCAGTGTGAAGAAGACGAAGGATGTGGTTGTGGACTTCAGAAGGAACAAACACACCTACACCCCCCTGAACATAAGAGGATCTATGGTGGAAGTTGTCTCCAGCTACAAGTACTTGGGTGTACACATGAACACCAACCTCAGCTGGAGCAACAACACCACCAGCCTGATCAAGAAAGCTCATCAGAGACTCTACTTCCTCAGGCGGCTGAGACGAGCTGGTCTGGAAGCTCAGTCCTCACCACCTCCTACAGGTGTGCAGTGGAGAGCATCCTGTGCTCGAGCATCAACGTGTGGCATGGAGGCTGCACAGCTGCAGAAAGAAAAGCTTTGCAGAGAGTGGTGAAGGCTGCACAGAAGATGTTGGAGTCAGTCTCCCCACCATCACAGACATCTACACCTCCAGATGCAGGAAGAGGGCCACCTGCATCATGAAGGACCCCACCCACCCAGCACACACACTTTTTGCCCCACTCCCCTCAGGAAGGAGGTTGAGGAGCATTAAGTGTAGAACCACTAGACTGAGGAACAGCTTCTACCCTGAGGCTGTTAGACTCATGAATCTCTAACCAGAATAATCACTGTGAAAAAATCACATCATGTTGTTGCTGATCTGTTTCATGTTGCTGCTGATCTGTTTCATGTTGCTGCTGATCTGTTCCATGTTGATGTGTTCATGCGTGCTCATCTGCTCACACAGACTCATGTTTGTGCTGTTGTTCGACATCATGTTTTTATGCTCTTAGTGTTTAGTGTATATTTAGTTGATGTTTTTTTTTGTTCATATCTTAGATCTTATTACTGGTTTATTTTACATTTTATTGTTGGATGTAACTGGGACCCTGTGAACATAATTTTGTTTGACCACATGTGGTAGAAATGACAAATAAATATCTCTGAATCTCTGAATTGCTCTGTCCTCTGATTGTTCCCTTAGTGTCTTCTAATGGTCCCTCTTCTGTCCTCACATGGTTTTCATGTAGTTTATCTTTTTTCTCATGTTTCTGCTGTAATTTTTTTGTGGTTCTACATTGTTGTCCTATTGTTCTTTCATGTTTATCCCACGGTTCTTCTGTGGTTCTGCTGGGGTTTTTTTTCCATAGTTTCTCAGTGATTGTAATGTGGTTCTCCCGTGGTTCTTGTGTGGTTCTCCTCAGCTCTCAGAGTTGTTGTCAGCACTGCTGATGGCTGAGCAGAAGGTTGGATGTTCTCTGCGTTGGCGGCTTCATGAGAAGCTGCTGCAGCGGTACAGCTGCCTGGCCAGACTGCTGCCCGGAGAACTGCTGCACCAGAACTTCTCCCCTCGGATCTTCATGATTCTCACCACCAATGTTAGCACCATCAGACCCAGCGTCATCCCACAGAGGAAGTGTGTGAGATCCGAATAACTCATCTGTGGTTCTGTCCTGCTGCAGAAGGTGCTGCCTGTACAGAAGGAGGCAGCACGGATGTTCTGCACCTTCCTGCGCTACAACCGCAATCAGGAGCAGCGTCAGGAGATGCTGGGGCAACTGATCCGAGGTCAGAACCTTTCAGCTCATGTTGATGGGTTTGTCATTCAGATTTTCCAGAACATAAGCAGAAATGCAGTTTACTGAACAAACACTGATGGTGTGCAGTAGTACTGAACTAGAGAAACACTGGAAGGTGTTTGTGAGAAGTATGTGGGGGGGGGGGGGTAGCTACTTCTCCAAATGAACACAAAACAACTCACATTTGATTTCACCTGTGAAGATTCTGCCATCAGTTTGTGTCTGTCCTGTTCTTTGTGTATGATCCTGCTAAAAACACAAGATCAATCAAACAGTGATCAGTTAGAGACCGCTGTAAGAACAAAGACCAATTATACCTGGAAGCAGACACTCAGTCAAAGCTCCGGTTAAACATCGCACTTATTTTACTGTAAAATATGAATGAACATTTTCTTCTGGCTGTTTTTAGTGTGAGTGAACTGCAGCAGAGTTCTGGTCAGACTGAGTCCACATGGATCGGTTGTCAAACATTCCATCCAGGAACAAAAAGGCAACAGTTCTGGTCTGGTCTGGTCTGGTTGGGATGATGACTGCACCGAGTCATTTTGTCACAAAGGTGGCGAGGGAGTTTTCTGGTTCTGACCTGGCTTGTTGGGAGGCCCACCACAGAAAACTCATGGCTCCTGTTTCCACATTTTTTATGTTTGAGTATAAATATGTATTTTTTTGGACTCAAGCTTTTGACGCGCACAACTAACGCCTTCACGGTGTGGCTTCCACGTAAACACCATGTGATGCGTGTAGTACTTGAAAAGATGGCCGCCAAAAACCTTGCTTGCACCATCAGTGGCCCTTCCAGTGTTTCTCTGTTACAGAGTGCAGTGGAGGAACATTCAACGGACTTGTCCTTGTGCTGGTTCTTGTATTAGATCTGGCTCAGGGCCGCAGTTACTGGAACCGTCTGAGGTTCCTTGATGTTTGTGAAGTTGCCACAGATATTTTGTCTCGAAAATACTTCAACAAACACTTCATTGTCCCAGCGCTGGAGCTCGTCCACGACTCTGTCGCCAACGTAAGGTAGATCAGAACCGTTGTGTCCAATGAAGGGCTTTCCATCAAACACCTCATGTTTGACCATCATCCTCTGGACTCACCTGTCCGTCTCTCAGGTACAAGCTCTGCCGCCTGCTGCCACGGATGCGTTCTTCACTCCACCTGCCAGCCGACAAACTGCTGCTGCAGAAACTGGACTTGTGTGTCCAGAAACTTCTCTGCAGAGAGAAAGACAAAGATGTGGTGGCCATAATCCGAAAGGTAAGTCCTACCAGAAACTGATACGAACAGGAACTCAGGGACATGGCTGACTGGCTCTGTTTGGTGTTTAACAAAATTAATCATGTTTTTATTAGACAGTGTTGGAACTGGATAAACTGGACCTGTGTGAGCCCGTAAGGAACTGGTCCAAACAGCATCAGAACAGTGAGTACCTGATCTGCTCTTTGACACCGTGATGTTTTGTGGTCCTCAGCAGTTTCATAAGAGACACCAGTGGGACTTCTTGGATCAGAAGGACGAGGTGCTGCTCCTGGAGATGGTGAGTCTGAGGCATGTTGCAGGTTCTCCATATGTTCTTGAGCTGACGTGGTGTTCTGTCAGGAACAGCTGGAGCAACACCAGAGTGACGGGAAGCTCAACAACACCGACAGGAAACGTGAGTCAAGATGCTCGACCAAACATGGCCGACGTTTGAAGCTCCAGTCTGCTAACGCCTTTCTTCTGACAGGAAGAGATGGAAGAGATGGAAAGACGAGTTTGTCCTCCACCAAGTCCATGTCCGTGTCCACATCTACAGCAACCTCGTCCTCAAGTATGATGATGATGATGATGAAGTGATGAAGATAATCGTAGTGATCATGTTGATGATGACGATGGTGATGAGGATGATGGTAGTGATGATGATGATGATGGTGATAATGAAAGTGATGATGATGATGGTGGTGATGAAGGTGGTAATGATGATGGTGATGAAGGTGATGAAAATGATGTTCCTTTGTGTGCAGGTAAAGAGATGAGGAAGGTGAAACTGTCTCGCAGTCGGTCCCTCAGCAGCCAGCCAACAACGTCCAAAGCCATGAACCTGGACCGGTTTCTGTAAGACCTCCTACCTACCTGCTCTCAGATTTACCTGCTCTCAGATTTACCTGCTCTCACGCATCACACTTCAGAAGCAGAACTGGGTCAAAATCCTGCTGTTTTCTCTGCAGCGCCAGTAACTCATGTTCATAGACCATAAAGACCGCTGAGCATGACCTTTAGACCCAAACTTGATCTGATGTTCTGCTCCCTCGCCTGTCCATCAAGGTCAAACGTGTCCCTCACCTGTCCATGAAGGTCAGAGGAGTAGAAAAGTTCTGACCATCCTACTTAGCATGCACAGAGTTCTGATGAATATTTACAGAGGACAACCTTTGGTTCTGCTTCTGGACCACACGTGCAAATAGAACTCCTGACACAACGTTCTAATTCAGAGACACCAAAACAAGGTCAAAGAAGAGAAACCAAGACCACCTTGATCCAGACCACCTCAGAGCTCTGAGTCTCAGCATGTCTCAGTTCTGACGGATCTCTCATTGACCCTTGAGCTTTTGGTTCTGGTCTTGCGCAAAATAAGATTACATAAATCCAGTCTCCTGTCCTGCTTCTGCAGATCTCATGGTTCTGATTCTGGTTCTACAGACCTCATGGTTCTGGTTCTGCAGACCTCATGGTTCTAGTTCTGGTTCTGCAGACCTCATGGTTCTAGTTCTGGTTCTGCAGACCTCATGGGATGGTTTAAATGTTTTAATTATTTTCTGTCCTTCAGAAAGGTCAAGGATCTGGACGGTTCTTCTGGACCAGGGAAGTCCACTGTGTTATCCACCAAAGGTATGTGCACACCTGACCTTCAGCCAAAGTCTCTGTGTCGCTGCTGTGACATCACTTCCCGTTTCTCATTTCTGTGGGCCTTTGCTGTGACAATATATGTATACTGAATATATTCGGGTCTGATTACACTTTCTTACGACTAGATGCAACCACACACCAAAATGGAAGTCAGTACCTCTTTTTATTATAGTATTGTATCATCAGACTGTGAGTGAACGCTGGCGCGTCTGACTGCCGCTGCTCACCGGCTGCTATTTTTGTGATTTTTGTGAAGTTTGTAAAGAGTTTCTGCGCTGTTTGACAACGGACAGATTATGATGTGGATCCACAGGGTGTGTGTGTGGTCTGTCCTCACCTGGGCTGTTTTATCCATCGTCCACCACCCGGTGACTGCTCTCCTTCAGTACAACGCTACAGAGCTTCTGCGACTCCACTTCCACCTGGCTGTCCCTTCACCTGTGGTGCTTCACCTCAATCCGGACATTGCTTTTAATCCCCGCCGAAAGTACATCCACTGAGGGTCCCGGCGAAACTTCAATACCAATGACACTGACTCCGTAGAATCTTTTTGGTCCAGAACTCGTCATCCTCCCCATAATTCTGACAGGACTGTCAACCGCAGTGTGTTAGCCCACCTGGCTAGGTCGGCTAACACTATCGTCAAGCATCGCAACTCCAACATAAACTTCGGTCTTTTAAACGTCCGCTCTCTCACTGGAAAGAGACATCTCATCCAGGATCTCCTTCTCGACCGTAAATTGGACTTTCTTTGCTTGACTGAAACATGGCAACATCCCAACGACTTTGTTTCTCTCAACGAGTCGACCCCACCTGAGTTTGTTTACATCTGTCACCCCCGCAACTCAGGGAGAGGCGGTGGTCTCGCAATAATTCATCGGAAGCACTGGAAAGTCCTCCCTGTCTCTGCCCCCCTCTTCCACTCATTTGAATACACAGCATCTCAGCTCCCTGGATCTACTCCTACTATTTTATGTACTGTTTATTAACCACCGAAGCCAAATAAGGATTTTTTGTATGACTTTGCTGCTCTTCTCACTCATCTTTCTGTTCTCTCTCCCAATATGATTGTTGGTGACTTTAATACTCACATGGACAATGACAATAACCTTCTCACCAGAGACTTGACTTCCTGTCTGGATAGTTTTGGACTCCAGCAATACATCAAATTCCCTACTCATTCTAAAGGTCATATTCTGGATTTGGTTTGTTGTTCTGGGGTCACCCCTACTCACTGCAAAGCCAATCTGTTTCCCACTTCTGATCATATGCTTATTTCTTTTGATGTAAATATAATAGCTTTGAAAACTTGTACTCCTCGTGACATTACATTTAGGAAAATTAATGATATTGATCCTGACATTTTCTCATCTGCTATATATGACCTTCCATCTATTCACTGCTCTTCAACCCCTGATGAACTCACTTCCTACTATAATGTCAACCTCCAAAACCTTCTTAACACATTTGCTCCACTCAAACACAGATCTGTTTCATTTTCTCGCTCAGCACCATGGTTTACGTTCAACCTGCGTCTTCTAAAAGCCAAGGGACGCCAACTGGAACGCCTGTTCAAAAAAACTGGACTCACTAAACACAAAGAAATGTATAACAATCATATCCTGATGCATGCTCAATAATCCAGGTAGAAAAATCTAAAAAGGTTAAATCTGGTCCTCTGGACATTCAAAAAAACAAAACAAAGCAAATCAACAAAAAAATGTAGAAACGTTTCGTCTCTCATCCGAGAGACTTCCTCAGTCAGAGGAGCTGTATTCAGCTCAGTCTTTTAAATAGCACCTTCTCAGAGTGGATCAACCAGTTTTGCTGCTGACAACCAGAACCATCTGATCACATGCTCAAGAAGGACCATCAGCCTAACAATGGATCATTAGCACCTGATGGCTGTTTACTGTTCACAGAGGGCTGAGTGATACTAGCAATCACAGCATTGTAAGAGGGGGACAGTTGAACCTGGAGGCCTCCACCCCTGTTTAAAGATGGACGGTTTCTTTTCACAAAGATGGCCTCCTTTACTCCTCTCTCAAACCATTGTTCCTCTCTGTCCAGGATGTGAACATCTTCATCCCTGAAAGAGTGACCGCTGGCCTGGAGATGAGTGTAGACCTCAGAGTCCTGGCCTGATGATGTTGATCTTCTGTGCTGGTCCATCCTTTTGGCCAGTGGCTGTTTTGTTTCCTTGAAGTAAGACTGATCACCCTCCTGACACTGAACAGCATACACAATATTACTCTGTTTGTGCCGGGGGACTGGATCTTTGGGATGAACCAGTCTTTAATGTATTTTGGGGTTTAAAAGCCACTGGGACGTTATGTTTAGAAAATAAACGTCTCACTTTCTCTGATACTCCCTCAACATATGGAATGACCACTGGTCTGGGTCTGGGTTCCTCCTTTTCACCTGATGGCTGACTGGAGTCCTGTTTGGGTTTCTTCTCTGCTTTCAGGAAGGCCCAGTTAGGATATCCACATTGCTCTAGAGCCTGTCTTGTGTGGGATTTCTCCTTCTGCCTGGCTCCTGAGCTAGTGGGGATGCTGTCTGCTCTGTGATACACAGTCCTGATGACTCCTAACGTGCTCCAAAGGGTGATGGGAGTCAAACTGCACTGGTCTGTGTGGGTGGGTTTGCGGTACACCTCAGTTTGCAAAAGTCCTCTATCAGAGACTGAGACCTCACAGTCCAAGAAAGCCAACCTGCCATTTTTTTACATCTTCTCGTGTGAACTTGATGTATTTATCCACAGAGTTGATGTGGTCAGTAAAATGTTGGACTTCCTGAGATTTGATTTTAACCCAGGTGTCGTCAACATACCTGAACCAATGACTTGGTGGTGTCCCTGAAAAGGACGTCACGGCTCTCTTTTCTACCTCCTCCATGTACAGGTTGGCAACAATAGGAGAAACTGGAGACCCCATAGCACACCCATGTTTCTGCCTATAATATTGCTCCCCATATGTGAAGTAGGTTGACTGCAGGCACAGTTTCAAGAGTTGACACAGTTGTTCTGTGGAAAGTGTGGTCCTGCTGCTCAGAGTGGTGTCTGATTTTAATCTTAAACTGACCACCTCTACTGCATCATCAACAAGAATGCACGTAAAGAGTGATGTGACATCAAAAGAGACCATTGTTTCATCAGTCTCCATGATGACATCCCTCACCTTGTCCACAAAGTCCATGGTGTTCTGTATGTGGTGTTCTGAGCTGCCAACTAAAGGGATGAGTACAGA